TCTCACCTCCGGACAGAAGCTGCCCCTTTAGTCTCTTTTATCTACTTGAGCTAAAAGGCACACTCCTCACAAGTATCACTTTATGTCCCACAGTCCAGTCCAATCCCTGTCTGAAGAGTTGGCCTCAGAAATTGTTTTAGTCCTAGGCTGATAGACAATCCGGGGGCCATGCTTTCCAGGGTTCCTCCAGTCTCAGTCAGACCATTAAGTCTGGTCTTCTTACTAGAATTTGAGTTCTACACCCCACCTTTCTCCTGCTCCATCCAGGACTCTGTTGTGTTCCCTGTCAGGGAGGTCACTGGTGGTAGCTGGGCATCATCCAGTTCTTCTGGTCTCAAACTGATGAAGTCTCTGGTTTATGTGGCCCTTTTCTGTCTCTTGGGCTAATACTTTCCTTGTGTCTTTGGTGTTCTTCATTCTCCTTTACTCCAGGTGGCTGGGTCCAACTGATGCATCTTAGACGGCAGCTTGCAAGCGTTTAAGACCCCAGATGCCACTCACCAAAGTAGGATGCAGAACATTTTAATAAGCTTTACCACAACAATGTTTTTGAATATATATTCCATTATCTGAATCATGCCAATGTCTAACTTTTATACAATCTTCATTTCAATTTATGAGTTAAAAAAATCAACTATCTAGGCAAACAAAAGGAAGTAAGCATAAAACCTAATAATTTTCTTTAGCTGAATCTCAGATGCAGAGAAAGTATATTTTATAAAATGACTATATTTAATCCATGATTATAATATGGAGGTCTGAACCCTTAGCAACCATAAAAACGAGATTCTATAAGTTATTTTCTTTCAGTCCTTTTTTATTCCCTAATTAATAGAAAAAAAATTATTGGTTTTTATTTTGGCAAAGTTATGAACAAATCCAAAATACTTAATGGATATTGTTCATCCTCACTCAATTAGCACAGAGCAAGTAAAATGCTAATCATCCCATTAAACAACTACATTTTTCTTTGCTTCAATTGCAATCTCAGTAATATATTTCTGATTAATACAATTAGAAAAGCATTAGTTATGACTTAATTTATTCAGTTTGATTCTCAAATATTTAAACACATGGGGTCTCTAGTGGACAGAAAGCAATAAAAGGAATACTTGGTGGTAATAAACTTAGAACAAAAGAGTTAAATGAAATTTAGTTGTGGCTTACTACTGTAATCAATATCTTACTATTATAGGTTTAATTTCCGTTCCATATCATATAATTAAACTTTTTAGATTTCTGCAAGGGTACTTCTCTGTTGCAGGGCTTACCTGCCTCCTGAGGAAATACCAGTTGATAACCTGGGTTTGAAAAGGAAAAGACTCGGTGTTTCTTGAGCTCTGAGTATTTCACCTCTCTTGGCTTTGCAAATGTGCTAGGACCCGAAGGCATCCCTGAGACTTCAAGATGACTCACTAGGAAATTTGGCTTTTAAACAGAAAGAGACCAGAATCACTTGTTACTGTTGGCAGAGAGTGACCTAAAGGAGAAATTTTTAAAAATAAACTTAAAAAACACTCAAATAGTGCTTGCTATGTACCAAGCACTTTTTCCAAGCTCTGTAGAAGCATTAATTCATTTAGTTTAATCCTCACAACAACTTTGTTGTTGTCAGGTGCCATCAAGTGGACTTTCGACTCATAGTGACCCCATGTGACAGAGTAGAACTGCCGCTGTAGGGTTTTCTAAATTGTAATCTTTATGGGAACAGATTGCCAGATCTTTCTCTCTTGAAGTCGCTGGGTGGGTTCAAACTGCCAACCTTTTGGTTAGCATCAACTGTTGTGCTACCAGGACTCCTTTAAACAACTCTACGAGGTACTATTATCATCTACTGCTTAGAAGGAAATGGAGTCACAGGGAACTTAAATACCTTTTTTGGTCAAAGAGCGATTAGGATTCAACCCTAGGCTGTCTGACCTCAGAGGCTGTGGCTGCCTCTCTACATGGCTGGCAATAAACAGGGCTAATGGCTGTACCAGCTAGAGCTGCTTTTCTGGAACAATAAACGAAGTAGTCACATTTTACTTCAGGGGAGAACTAGCCAGTCTTAAATACTGTGGTGATCTTGATGAACATGATACACTGAAAGAAGCAGGGTTAAAATTAAGGGCGATGCCAGTGATTGTGGGTTTCCAGAAATCTATGCCAGCCAAACGCATCTGTACGTAGACTTCAGATTTATCTTAAGAGATGAATTCACTGATTTCTGTGATGTTACTACTCCTCTCTTAGTTTTATAATAAACTTTCTTAAAAAAAAAAAAAATCCTTGCCTGGGAAGAATAGTCCCTTGCTAGGCCAGTAACCACCACCACCATTCTGACAACTGTCGTTATGCTTGAGCCCACTGGCGCAGGACCAGACAGTGTTTCATTCTGTTTTACATAAGCTTGCTATGTACTGACTCCATGACACCTAACAACAAGGCCAGCAAAGTTACATAAACGAGCTATGTCTAGACTGGTGGTATGGTGGTGGCAGCTTTGTAGACAACCAGTTGAACTGCAAAGAAAGAGAGATGAAAACTTAGTGGGGTCAGAGACAGAAAACACTACAATTTTTGCTTCCTGAGCGTTCAGGGATTTCGTTTGCTTGCGTAGGTTTTGCTTTTTTTTCAACAAGTGAGCTTTATCTTTTATTTAATGCGCTGCTCCAGTTTGCACTTCAAGTTTATCTGAAGCATCTAAAAAAATGTTACAACATCATTAACTTTCACATTAAATATCAAATTAGCCAGAGAAGTTGACTAACTTGTAAGTACTCCAAAAAACAAAGTATTAAAAAAACAAATTTGAACTTGGTGATTCCATCCAGTGAACTGTTTAATGGGATGTAAGGGAATCTCTTATGTGCCAGACACCATGCCAAGCATTTTACACAGTTATCCCATTTAATCTCACAGCCTTGTGAAGTGGTATTGAATCCAGTCTCAGGGCTGAAAAAGCAAGCCCACAGACGGTATGAGTCTCACAGTTAATAAAAGGCCTTAGTGGGACTATAAATTTATGTGTTTCAGGCTCCACGTTACATAGCACTATCTTCGAGACCATCCAAGGCACGAGTACCTTGGTAAGAAGGTACCAAATCTGCTTGCAATTAAGCGATGGTTCAGTACCACTGCATCTGACATACAAGTATTTCCAGCAGTAATAGTGTATCCAGCCACTTTCTGCGTTGAAAAAGAAACACCCACACCCAGACGTTGGAAAAATATGGCATAGATAAGGAACGAGGCTAATTTAACTAGTAGGAAGAAGCAGTTTTTGAACAAAGGGTAGAGCACGACATAAGAGGTGGATTAAACTCTAGACACTGCCTATTGAAGCTGGTTGGGCTGCAGCGCTCCAAGGCCTATTAATGGCTGCAGGTAAGTCTTTTCAGCCCCGCCTGGAAAACAGAAAAAGCTATACAGCAGGACTACCCCAGTGCTCACCTTCAGATGTGAAGGCAAGTCCTATTATAGGGATAGACATATATCCATAACACACTGACAGTATGTCTGTATAGAAAAGACGGGGGGCGGGGGGCGGTGAGCTGAATTAATCCAGGAAGGAAATACACTGTGTTCCCTGAGGGTTTATTTTGGGAGAAAATTACTCCCCTCTTCGTGATACCCTTTTATGTCCAGGTACATCACCCTTCATTATCGATCCCCAGGGCAGAACGTTATTGGAGGCCCTTACTCGTTTCCCAGGCCCCAGCGGCGTAGCAAGCGCTGTGGTCCCCAGGCGGCAGGGGAGGGGGTGACGCAGGAGGCGATCCAGGGCTGAGGTCCCGGCGCGGGGGCAAGAGGGAGGGAGCACGGATACCTCGCCGATTTCGCCGCGGGCCAATCAGAAGGCTCAGTATTTCCTTGGCGCGGGGAGGGGGAGACGGCGGGGGTGTCGCGGGGCGCCTACAGACTTCCTCCAGTCCCCGCGCAGCGCCGCCGGCGGAGTTCCGAGCGAGCGCGCCGAGTCGCCGCGGGTCTCGACGCGCCCGCCAGTCCCGGAGTTCCTCTGCGGCTCCCCCTCCCTCTCGGCCCGCCCCCTTCTTCGGCCCACACTGCGCCCGCCCTCCTTCGCGCGGGCTCCTGGTCTCTGGCCGCAACGCGCGTCGCCGGGGCGCTCTTTGGCTGGTGTCCGGGGGCCTGCGGGGGCGGCGCCGGCGGGGCGCCTCACCCCGGGCTGGCAGCGGTAATGCTGTTGCCGTTGCCGGCTGTGCGGCCAGACGGGCAACTGGCGGCTGCGGCAGGAGCCAGAGCGCGCTCGGCGGGACGCCGCCCTCACCTGC